GAGACCACCTCCAGTGTTGGGCTTTACATGCTCTACAAAATGCAAAAAAGAATGGGTCTCTAGCATTAACGGTTCCCGAATTAGAGACAGTTTTCAGTTTCGGTATCTTATGGCAGCTACTCCCATGAAAATGCACCGATTGACCCCAAATTCACGGAGATGAAAGATGACCTGAAGGGTAACACTTTCCATTAATATTATTGGTTAAGTCTGTGTGGTGTCTGAATAACAGGGCAAATAATTTTTTTTTCTTAAAAAAATTCGTTTTTTTGAAAATTTTGGCCCGTTTGACCTTGAAATAAAGGTCAAAGGTCAAATCCAAGGGCATATTTGAAATCTACACATATGACTTTTGGAAAGCCATCTGTAGAAATTTTTCCCATAATTCCTTCCGTAGGGTAGATAATTAGCATTTAATTTTGCCATTTTTGGACAAGGGTGTATTGTAATGAGTGCCACACCTAGACCCCAATACCGACAAAGCCCAAATTTTACGTGGAACGAGTTGAGATTATAGGTGACCTAAATCCAAGAGATGGGTACAGAGGCCCTTACTGTCTAGGAGGAGAAGCGGTAACGGAGCCGGCGGAGCCACAGGAGCCGGCGGAACGATCCGGACGGGACTAAAACCATGTGTACTGCCAGCGCTAACGCTGGCGGTACAATTAATTGAAATAAAGAAAAGGTCATTTTGGGTGAAATTCTTGAAATGGGAGGTGCTCAGAAGTTCCAGATGTTCAAATTTCATGAAATAATGTCATTTTTAACCAGAAATTGTTTGTCTCGCCAAGCCTTATGTTTTATTTTCCAGAGGTTCAAAATTTATTACCGTATTGCACATTTTGCTTTCACCACCATAATGTACTTTTTGATACAGCATAACTCGTAAACCGTATAGAAATAAAAAAACGGAGACCACTTCCAGTATTGGGCTTGACATGCTGTACATAATGCAAAAATAGCATTAACGGTTTCCGAATTAGAGACAGTTTTCAGTTTCGGTATCTAATGGCCAATGCTCCCGTGAGAATGCACTGATTGACCCCAAACTCACGGAGATGAAAGATGACCTGAAGGGTAACACCTGCCAATAATATTATAGGTTAGATCTGAGTAGTTGTTGAATATCAGCATTTTTTAAAAAAATTTGGGCCGTTTCTCCTTGAAATAAAGGTCAAAGGTCAAATCCAAGGTTATATTTGAAATCTCCACATATGACTTTCAGTCAACCGTCTGTAGAACTTTTCCCCATAATTCCTTCGGTATGGTAGCTATATAGCATTTAATTTTGCCAATTTTAGACAAGGGTGCATTGCGACCAGCGCCACACCTAGAACCCAGCACCGACGAAGCCCAAATTTTACGTGGAATGATTTGAGATTATACGTGACCTAAATCCAAGAGATGGGTATGCAGCGCCTATGCTGGTGGTACAACAAGGCAGAGCAAATCTGTCAACTGTACAGACAAAAAGCCGAAAATAATAATGCACACAAGAGGCTACTGTTAATTCTGAAATACATTATGCTTTACTGCAAAGTCAACATCAAATTTTAATTGCACAAATGGTAATACTGATGTCAGTAAAATGTGTAACAAGCTCAAGGCTTCAGCCCATGAGAGCTCAAGATGGCACCTTGAAAATGCCAGAATGAGAAGATGTAAATTTCACAAACAATTGCATAAATTCAATATAAAAAAAAAATAATAATCCAATAGAGCTGGTTTTCTAATGTGAGTTGTGTGTCAATCCTAAGAATCATTCTGGAAAGGTAAAAAAAAAAAGTAACACAGTTTTCTTTTCACATTTGTTGTGGCAGTGCACAAAGTAGGTTTTTGTGTCAATTTTGATACATTATTACGCCTCTGGTCGAATGAAGCCAATGTTTAATTACTGTGCCCCTGCAGAGATGACACTTTGGGAGGCATTTGAGAGGCGGAGAGACTATTACAGCATTAAGCGGTCTTCCTTTCATGTAGGATCCACCATTTTTTATCCTTGGACCAGTTGATACTCGGATATTCTATTCTGAATGGCTTAAAATATGACAGACCCTACATGGAAGGAAAGCCAACTAATCCGCTGATGGTCTCCCCGCCTCTACACATGCCGTCCTTGCAACAGTCTAGCAATTAAACCTCATAGATGTGATTTAATCTGTTTAATGGTGCGTGTGGAGGTGCTGAGACCATCAGCAGATACTCTTTTTTCAAGTAGGGTCAGCCATATTTGATCCATGGATCAGAAGATCCTTAGATCTATTCTGAATGGGCTCAAAACTGAATTTTGAGCCAATTTGTTAATTTTTATGTGCTAGATTATCCTAAAAGGAATTACTTACAGAGAAAACACCTCTCACCACCCAGCCATGATAGGGTTTGAGGCTACGTTCATATGCTTTGGTTGCTGCCTTGGTAAGGTCTTGTTCTCCAGAGACAAGTTCTCCGAGAAACTCCTTGATAAAATGAAGAGCCCTGAAACAGTAGAAAAAGGAAAGGGCTTAACATAATGCCACACATTGCTACATTGTGCTATATATTACAATCTGAGACCTAGCATTAAAGCTGACAAACATGAAAACACAAAATAATAATAATAAAATTTAAAATATAATAGAATAAATAAAAACACAGACATAAAGCTGAAAATAATGATGCACAAAATAGGTTTTGTCAATTTTGAAGCAATATTACAGTATAATATTACAGTAGCAATGTTTAACAGTATAATCACCACTGACATAAATTATGTAGTAATACAGATGTACACAAGGCAACAAAGCTGTCAAATGTACAGATAAGAAGAAAATAATGATGCACAAAATTGGCTACTGTCAATCCTAAAGCAATATTACATTATGCTTAAAAGCAAAGTCAACAACAAATTTTAATTATGCACAACAGCTAATACTGATGATAAGAAAATGAAACTAGTATAAGGCTTCAGGCACATGAGAGTTCAAGTGCACACTTTGACAATGCCCTAATGAGAAAAAATGAAAAAATTCACAAAAAGATTGGTTTTCCAACTCAAGCTGTATTTCAGTCCTATGTTTCTATTCTGTAAGTTTGAAAATAGTAAGTGACATGGTTTTCCTTTTCCTCATTATGAGGGCAGTACAGACATTTTTCAGACCATTGAAAATACTTGTAATATGTGCCCTATATCCTTTTTTTTTTCAGAAGAACACAGCAAGGACTAAAGCTGCCAAATAAAAAAAGGATATTTAGCAAACAGATAACATTAAGCAGTATAACTAAAAGCAAACACCTGACTTCAGTATTTTATCTTACTTGGTCATGCATCAATTTGATACAAATATTCTCATTATTTAGAAATAATAGGTACATGATATGAAAACATTGCAGTCAATTTGTTTTGAAATATATGCTGATATAAAATATAACAAGGCAGCAAAGCTGTCAAATGTATAGCCAAAAAGCAGAAAATAAAGATGCATAAAATAGGTCATTTTGTCAATTTTCATGCAATAATAAATAATGCTTATATCTGCACAGTCAATCAACACTGAATTTTAATCATGCATAACAGGAAACATGGCCAATAATATTACAGTTTCAGAATTCACATGAAGAAAATCCGTATGTGTGAAAAATGATGACAGTGCATAAAATACTTTTACATAATGTTTTAAGACATAAACACCAATAGTATTGCTTATGTGGAAATACAGAAAATGTATATCAGGTAGATGGGAGTAAAAAATCATCTTGAAAATGCCAGTGTTTGAAAAAAAAAAAAAAAACATAAAAAATATTCTGATAAAGCTGTCATCTGTGTCTGTGCATATATATTTAATAAGATATGTGCATATCAGATAACATACATGTAAAAATTGCACATGACGATTCACAGCCTTGCAGGAATTCTTTTCCCTTGACCCTCTTTGCTACATTGATGCAGCATACATTTCAAAACAAGAGTTCCACTTCCGGTAGACTGTTTCGAGACTATGGTGAGTAACGAGAGAACTAACGACCGAACTTTACGACTGAACTTAGCGATGAGTTAACGACTGCTTCATGAAACACCTCTCGAAAATCGCTAAATTTGCTCGTTAGCGAGGTAGTTCAGTTGTTCTAACTAACTACTGCTTTGTGAAACCGGCCCCTGCTTTGCCAGCAGTTTGTTCTTTTCATTGCAAAGTTTCATTTAGAAGGATATCAATGTGACTTGCCACTTTTTTGTCCTACTATCTTCTATTTACTATCTACTGTTTCAATTCCATTGCAATGACCATGGAACTATCTCATGGGTTATATTCACATATTTTTGCTTGGCTAATACTTGCCTCTGTTCAATAATGGGGCCTTAACACACACTTAAGGTTCTTTTGTTATCAGCTCTCTTTTGTTATGAGCTCTCTATAGACCTTTTTCATCTTTTCTGGAAATGGAAATTGCATTGTGGGTAGGGGAGTCCTGTTATGTCGAAACACTTACAGCGGTGTAAATGCATAACCTGCATGCCACCAGATAAATAAACTAACATGCCTCCTCCTGGTGTTGAGTACAATACAGTGAAAATGTTGATTATACTAGTGTGTTGGAAACAAAAGGGTGCATATTAATCTGCTGGCATTCAGCAAGAATCCCCATGGAGTTACTACACACAAAACAGGGGCGGATTAAGGCTGTCTTCTGGGTCTTCCGGAAGATGGTCAGATTTTCAAGTTTACATTGACGGGTATCTAATTTTTTCTGTTGGAAGACGGTCAAAAAATTGGAGGGTGGATAAAAAAATTTTAATATGGAAGACTGTCAGAAAATATTTCTGGATCCGCCCCTGCAAAAGCTAGGCACCCTAACTAATTCTGAATGTCCCTTTATTTTGTCTTGATTACACTTACTTACCTTTTTAGCCACAGAAGTGCTTGTGTAGCAGAATTTGAAAGCTGGCTTTGTCCCACACTTTTCTCATATAGAACTATAGCTTGGAGAGTGCTGAATGCTGAAGGGTTTGTTTTATATTTCTCATTTATTTTCTGAAAACATAACAAAAAAGTTGTCTCTACTTAGTATAATTTTTGTTGCCCTTACTACTTATCATACAGTTGACAGATTTAATTTGAAGACAACGTACTGCTAACACGTTAAGTGATCAGAAAAATCATCTAATACCTAACTACGCCCCCTTTTAATGAATGGTCACCGTGGGAAGAAGGCAATGCAACCATAAGTAACTAGAGGATCAGAGAGGCGATACCGCCTCCGAATATTGTACCACCAACTGGAGTAAGCCCATTCGTATAGACCCCCCCACACACAAAAAAAGGGGACACCACCACCAGTCTTGTGCTTGACAAGCTGTAAAAAATGCAATCAACAAGAATTCTCAAAGTATGCAAAAATATATATAACTAAAAATGGTACAATCAAAGTTCAGTTCATCGTAAGGTAGGTCAAAGGTCAATTTCAAGGTCACATTTGATTTAGATTGTATATGACTTCCTATTCAACTTCAATAGTAACTATGGACTTATCTCTGCCAGTTTTGGAGATATAAGGGACTAAATGTTATAATTTTGGAGTTACAATAATGTGCTATAAATTCCCTACAGAAAAAATTAATTAAAATAAAGAAAAGGTCATTTTGGTTGAAATTCTTGAAATGGGAGGTGCTCAGAAGTTCCAGATGTTCAAATTTCATGAAATAATGTCATTTTTGACCAGAAGTTGTCTGCCTCTCCAAGCCTTATGTTTTATTTTCCCGGGGTTCAAAATTTTATCCATTATCCATTACCGTACTGCACATTTTGCTTTCACCACCAATATGTACTTTTTGATACAGCGTAACTCGAAAACCGTATGGAATACAAAAAAATGGAGACCACCTGAAGTGTTGGGCTGTACATGCTCTACAAAATGCAAAAAAGAATGGGTCTCTAGCATTAACGGTTCCCAAATTAGAGACAGTTTTCAGTTTCGGTATCTTATGGCCGCTACTCCCGTGAAAATGCACCGATTGACCCCAAATTCACAGAGATGAAAGATGACCTGAAGGGTAACACTTTCCAATAATATTATTGGTTAAGTCTGTGTAGTGTCTGAATAACAGCGCAAATAATTTTTTTTTCGTAAAAAATTTCATTTTTAAAAAAAAATTTTGGCCCATCTGACCTTGAAATAAAGGTCAAAGGTCAAATCCAAGGGCATATTTGAAATCTACACATATGGCTTTTGGAAAGCTGTCTGTAGAAATTTTTCCCATAATTCCTTCCGTAGGGTAGATAATTAGCATTTAATTTTGCCATTTTTGGACAAGGGTGCATTGCAATGAGTGCCACACCTAGACCCCAATACCGACAAAGCCCAAATATTACGTGGAACGAGTTGAGATTATAGGTGACCTAAATCCAAGAGATGGGTACGGAGGCCCTTACCATCTAGGAGGAGAAGCGGTAACAGTAACATGGTGGCGGAGCCGACAGAGCCGGCGGAACGATCCGGACGGGACTAAAACTATGTGTACCGCCAGCCCCAACGATGGTGGTACAATTAATGCATTGGCATCAAGGTGAAACAATGATGTTTTTCTCAAGCCAGCACGTAGCACGAGCCTTGTCAAAATAAGCTGTTGAAGCCGTAGCAGGATGCCAACACCACTTTATCTTTGGCTGTTATGTAATCCGGTAAAGGGCGCATGGCTCATTGAATCAGCTAATAAGATCGCTTCAGTTAATTATAAATAAGCTTGTGGATCTTGCTTTCATCATATATCTCTCTAGACAACTTGATTATGGATTTTGATACAATAATTTACCTGAAAAATTTACCTGAATAGCGATCTCGACAGCGTGACCCTCACATTGCAGGGCATGACTCTCGTATATACACGGAGTCTGCCTGTTATGAATATACTAATGCTGCCCTGGTTTAATATGTTCCTTAAAACTTCATGTTACACTCTTAACATCGTTTCAGGCCACCATTCACAGTAAATTTATTTCCAAAACAACAAGCATTTAACTCAAGACATACGCAATGCGATCCTTGGGCCACTATTGTTCTAACTCACAAAGGCCGGTATTTTCACCCCGTTTATCGGGTTCATCATCCTGTTTATTTAAATGAATGTACAGGAGTACTTTTCTATTGATGATGATGTCCTGCTCACAGTTTGTGGCTAAAAGTGAGCTAAATTAGGCTGAGTAAGAGTAGTATTTATCTCTACTGGGTCCCAACGGCTTAAGTTTTAATCCCCTATAATTAACGCACCGATAATAGCCATAAGAATAATAATAATAATATGTATTTATTTGCAACTTCAAAGTTGGATTTTACAAATTATGAGTCTAAACTCCATATTAATATGTTCGTTACGACTCCACAAATATGTACACACAAACAACAAGTAGACACAGTGTACCCGATCTCGCCTCCCTGGGGAGGATACAGCCCCGCTGCTGTCTGAGGCGCTGAGTGCTATCAAACTGACAATATCTTTCTCTGCCTGACCAGGACCCTGCTTCAACCCCTTAGTGCTGAGTGCCAAGCGGGGAGACAGCAGGTACTGTTTATAGAGGACTGGTATGTCTCCGGACGGGTTTTGAACCCACGTCCTCCCGCTCCGGAGGCGGACACTCTAACCACAGGGCCATCGGGTCGGTTATAAGACAAGCATAAGCATTATAAACCAAGGCTATTAAAGTGTCTTTGGATTTAATCCTGTAACTGTAGGCCATGTTTCTACAATGCAACCTAAACAGGATTTGTTCTTCCTAATGCCATTTTTGAGTTCCATTCAATATATTCCACAAAAGCACCCTTGATAATTATTCTGAAGCAAGGTATTAAAGGAAACATAACTCATCATTTTGGAGGGTAAACAATGGCTTTCTCATACTTTCCAATATTAATGGTTCATGAATATGTTCCAAAATTCAAAGTCAGTTGATTGTTGCATTGCCTGTAACTTAAACTGCTTACAATTCACAAAACTTAGGATATGCATGGCCGACTGCAAATGTATATATATTTTATTGAGGGGTTTTATTTCCTCCTCAATCAGGAAAATAGTAAATAGTTTAAAGTATTTTGGGGATAATTAACCCTGCCTTTATCTTTAAATTACTTAATGAACAATTTCTAAATTACAGGAAAGTACAGCACCTGTAAAAAAGGTGAATACTCACACGTATATTACCACTTATGTCCATCTTTACTGGTGCAAATGCTGTGGAACTAAGTTTATCTGAAAATAATTATAAAAATAAAAATTATTTAAACCATGCTTCAACTACATTTCAAAGCTGTGTACAATAACTAGAGGATCTAAGAGGCAATACTGCTTCATGGGTGTGTAGCACCATCTGTACAGTTATAAACTAATAATTTACAAACAAACCAAAATCATAGCCTCCTTTATGGAGGTGATGATAATAAGAAAATTAATAATAACAATAATGTCTATTGCTGTTGTGAATGTTATTTATTTTGACACCAATATTTTCTTTCATCTTGTATTATTTCTTTTTTCAGACAATCTCAAATGACCTGTAACATTATCTGTCAAATTCCTCAACTAAAACAATCCATTTTGCCCAGCCCTTTGCCAAAAATTAAATATATGGCAGACATCAGTAAGGATTCAAGGTTATTAACCATATATACAAACCATGGAAAGATCTATCGGAGTCCAGAAAGACCTGTAGCTTCATTGATTACTCAAAAGCGTTCGACAAAGTATGACACTCTGACTTGTTTAATATTCTGGCAGGGCTATACATCGATGGGAAAGATCTTCGAGCCCTCAGAAACACAGGAAGCAGCCATTAGAGTCAACAATGACATCAAGCAATATAGACCAATCTGCAGGGGTGTGAGGCAGGGCTGCGTGTTCTTACCCGATTTACTTAACGTATATAGGGACATAATTCTACGAAATATTGAGAACCATGAGGGAATTAGTGTAGGTGGCCACAACATCAACAACCTGAGATATGCAGATGACGCAGTCCTTATCGTCGACTCTGAAGAAAAACTGCAAAAGATTCTGACAACAGTAACAGACGAAAGCGAAAAGAAAGGATTACAGCTCAATGCAAAGAAGACAGAATGCACAGTGATCTCAAAAAAAGCTGTTATACCACAATGCAACATAGCCTGTAAAGGAGACAGAATCAGACAAGAAAACACCTTTAAATACATTGCTTGTACTATCACCCCAGATGGCAAGTGTGACACAGAAATCAAGAAGAGAATCGGACAATCTAAGGCAACTTTTAAAAACATGAAATGCATTTTTACCAACAATAAGATAAGCCTCAAGACAAAGATCCATGTTATGAGAGCCTACGTGTGGTCCATTCCTCTATACGGATGTGAATGCTGGACCCTAACCAAGGACACAGAACAGCAATTAGAAGCAGTGGAGATATGGTTCATCTGGAGAATCATGAAAGTCTCATGGACAGAAAGAAAAACAAATGCAGAAGTAATGGACATGGCTAGATACAAGAGATCCCTTCTTAACACCATCAGAGAAAGACAGCTCAAATTTTTCATCCATATAATCAGGGCTGGTAGACTACAGAAACTGATATGGAGTGGCAAAATATGTGGAAAAAAGAGCAGAGGAACATGATGCACAAAATTCACAGACAGCTTAAACAAATTTGCAGCGAATAAAGAGGGCACCAACAATGAGCTCATGAGGAAGACCAAGAATGGGGAAGAATGGAGAGCCATGATCGTCGATGTCTGCAAGACCAGACTGGACACTTGAAGAGAGAGAGAGAGATACAAACCAATGGCAACAATTGTCCATTTTTTTTATTCTGTTGTGCGCATGCAAGTTGCTATAATATGACAGTGACATTTCACAAGTTGGAGACATCACAAAAGACTTAAGGCTCATTCCTAATAGAATTATTATTCTACCTAAATCAATCTAACTCCATTGATGCTAGTGATCGGTCCTTCATATCTGTGAACCAAACTGTACCTTAGGCAAAACTCCAACTGTAGTATAGTAAGCAACTTCTAAAACTAGAGAATCAGAGGCGATACCGCCTCTGGGTATTGTACCACCACATTCAGTCACTATGCTGTTTTGCTGACCTCAGCCAAATTAAGTCAATTATCGATAATACTGTTTTTAAAGCAGCAGCAAATAGCAAGCAAAATTAAACAAGGCAGCAAAGCTGTCAAATGAACAGACAAAAACAGAAAATAAAAATGCAGAAAATGGTTCATTTTGTCAATTTTGATGCAATAATAAATCATGCCTACAATAGCACTGTCAATCAACACTGAATTTTAATCATGCACAACAGGTGACATCGTCAATAACAGGAGCGGATCCAGAGATATTTTCTGACAGTATTCCAAATTATCTTTGTTGATCCATCCTACATTTTTGATGGTCTTCCAACAGAAAAAACAGATACCCATCAATGTGAACTTTAAAATCTGAAAGATCCAGAAGACGGCCTCAATCCGCCCCTGCAATAAGATTATAGTTTCAGGACCAAATTCACATAATGAAAATCCCAATATTTGAATAATGATGACAGTGCATAAAATAATATTACATAATGTTTAAAGACATAAAAACCAATGCAACTGCTTATGTGGAAATACAGAAAATGTGAAGAGCTTCAGGTGGATGGGAGCTGAAAATGCCATTGTTTGAAAAATAAATTAAAAAGAAAGCACAACAAAAATATCCCATTAAAGCTGCTATTCAAATTTTAATCTTGCTGTAATAACATGATATGAATAACCCCAATGTGTTTGAGGATAATAAGGCACTGTTATTCAAATATTTTTTTTCTTTTGTTAACTTATTTGCAATATTAAACAACATTTACCTGCATAATTATCACAGATTCCTAATTATGTAACACATTTCAGAGAGCTTAACCTATGGGACTTTATTGGGAAATCTCAACGCGTGTTTTATGTAATCTTATTTAATGGGCACTTGGAAATTAATTAGGCAAATGATTTTGTAGCTCTGAATTTAGCTTGTGACTACCCCAAGGGACAATTACCACCATCCATAAACAGTAGCCCCATACAGCACTCTATAGAGCTGCATTGCTTCCAAAACAGAAAACAATCACACTGATTTTCCAACACAAACTGCATGTCAGTCTTACGAAACTTTTCAGTAAGTTTGAGTATCATAAGTAACATGGTTTTTCCTTAATGGTCATTCTGGCAGCCATTTCCAAAATAGGGTTTTCTTCAACTTTTATGCAATATAACATAATGACCATCAATTTTTAATAATAAAATAAAAGTATCATGGATATACAGAAAAAGTGACATGGAAAGGTCTTCAAGGCCATGTAAGTTCAGAGTCACACTTTCAAAATGCCAAAATGTATACAAGAGATAACTGTATTGAATTTATTTTCTTTCCATTTTCAACACCTTTTTTTTCATATAACAAAATAATCAATTTACTGTCATTTTTAAATGAACAACTAAGAAAATTGTTGACATAGGAAAAATATCAATAGAACAATTTTAAATGTCCAGTTTGCTCCATTCTGAGATTCTGAACATGGTGAATGATTGAATCTGACAAACTGTGAAGATATAAGTTTTTTTTTTTCTATTTTCTGACACTTTATTACACAATAACAGGTTTAGCATCTTTTTATATAATCAACTAACAATATTGTTAAGATGCAGAAAATGTCAAAAGAACACCTTTACACATTTAATTAGTTCACAGATGAGATTGTTAACATGCCTAAGAATTAAATCAAAGGAAAAAAACACTTATATACAAAAAAGGCATAACTTCACCAAAACTGAACCAATTGAGCTTATTTTCTAACTCCATCTGTATTTCAGTAAGACTGATCACCCCTGTAAATTTCAAGACAATTGGCCTCTTGATTTTCCTTGAAATGCGTTATCGGTATTGAATACATGCTGAAAAAAGTGAAAAAACAGCATAACTTCCACAAAATTGGTCCAATCACACTGATTTTCAAACTTGACCTGTGTATTATGAATATTCATCAGTTCTGTAAGTTTCAAGCCAAAAGGTAAAACAGTTTTTCACTTATCCTGTTATCAGTGTTGCATATATGCTTTAAAAAAATTTAAAAATAGCATAACTTCCGTAAAAATGGGCCGATCATGCTGATTTTCGAACTTGACCTCCATATTATGAATTTTCATTAGTTCTGTAAGTTTCAAGCTAAAAGGTAAAACCGTTTTTCACTAAACGTGTTATCGGTGTTATAAAAATGATGAAAAAAGTGAAAAAACAGCATAACTTCCATGAAAATGGCCCGATCATGCTGATTTTCGAACTTGACCTGCGTATTATGAGTATTCATTAGTTCCATAAGTTTCAAGCCAAAAGGTAAAACAGTTTTTCACTTATCGTGTTATCGGTGTTGCATACATGCTGAAAAAAGTGAAAAAAACAGCATAACTTCCATATGGATGGCCTGATCATGCTGATTTTCGAACTTGACCTGGGTATTATGAAAGTTCATCAGTTCTGTAAGTTTCAAGCCAAAAGGTAAAACGGTTTTTCACTTATCGTGTTATCGGTGGTCAAAGTGCACGACGGGGACAACAGACACAGGTGATGGCTATATGTACAGAAACATCTGTGTCTGTACATAAAAAGAACAAAAAATTTCCATTACTTAAAGTTAGGCAGCCAATATTACTATTTCAACAATATGTCATGCATGAATGCACACACCTACCGAATATGGAAACCACGGCTTTGCAAGACTGTAGGAATGTTTGCACTGGTATACCACCATTTGCTGCTAGTTTGATGTCCTGAAAGCTGGAATATTAGGGTGATAATCAGGTTCCATGGATATACTTAACTGACAACTCAGCAAAGCTATCAAATGTACAGACCAAAAGCAGAAAAAAACATGAAAGAAAAACCACCTAATCTTTTAATAGTCTCTCCGCCTCTCACACGCCTACCCACACGTAGTCCCTACTGGGTACAGTCATAAAATCTCGGCTCCGTTCGCCATGTGGAAGCTACCTGTGAAAAAGAAATGAATTGGCCCGTAGAGCAGCTATGAATCGGGATCAAAATCGTGAAAACACCCCCCCCCCCTTTCAGTTTGATCAGGCGTAGGGAACAAGGCAAACATCAGCATCAGAATGAACTGCACCCTCTGACGAGACTGCATACGCAAAAATTCTGCCATCCTCCTCCTCCGTCTACTGGGGATGGGTATCTCCGTGAATATCTCAGTGAATATCTCTGGTTACATTTTCTCCGTAGATAGCTGATTCATTGCTGCTCTATGGGCCAATTCATTTCTTTTTCGTCTCTGTTTTGAAAGATAATAGAACAGAAGAGCTTTTTTCCTTCGATCGCCTCCAGCCGCCATGCTTTCTTCACCTCGAGTTTAATTGATGAGCATGCGCACTTAATATTTCTCAGGTAGCTTCCGCATGGCGAATGGAGCCGAGATTTAATGACTGTACCCCACAGGGATGACGTGTGAGAGGCAGAGAGACTATTAAAAAGATTAGGCGGTTTTTCTTTTATGTACATCCGCCATATTTAGTTCCAGGATTTGTAAAGCCTGGCTCAACTCATTGTGAATGCTATCTTATATTGCCCGTATATGACTTCCTATTCAAGTTCAATAGTAACTATGGGTGTATCTCTGCTACTTATGGAGTATTTCACATTTTATTTTCATCACTGAATATTGCTTAGTTGTGCTTTTTGAAATAGCATCCCAGCAGGCACAGTGACACTCGATCAACAATGAAAACAGGTTGGGACATTGAATCATCGTTGATCTACCTAAATTCAATGTCAAATCAATGTTGATCCAGCCACGTCAAAACACCGTCATAATGTGACGTTGACTCAACGTTGTATTTTGGTCGTTGACTCAATGTTCTTGTTAGGTCGTCATGATGCAAGACGTGGATCGTAATTTAAAATATTAATTATTGCAAATGTGATACTATGTTTATCAATACTGTAAAGAACTTTATCAAAATATTAAAAACGCTGCTTTAAAGTAAAAGTAACAGTCGTTTTGTATCGTTAGTGAACTAGTGAATTTTCTTAACTTGTTATTTAGAAATACATTCCAATAAACTCCCTCGCAAGATCAGCTAACACAAGGATGAATAACTCGCTGTAAATGTAATAGAGTGATGTTAACGATGTTGACAGTTCACTGTACCCTGTTAGGCCACACTTTTTTATTTTTATGGATGACATCCTCCTGGGACCCCAAAATCAGGGAAAAAAAAAAAAAAAAAAAACAGTCCAGAAAAAAAATACTTTAGTAAGGGAAAGCTGTCAGTACACAGCTGGAAACACAAATTTACCACAGAAACACGTATCAAACTAACAATATCTCCTTATCCATGCTCTCAAATAATTAAAGCATTGTGAAAGGTAACAAGGCAGCAAAGCTGTCAAATGTACAGACAAAAAGCAGGAAATAACTATGCACAAAATAGGCTACTGTCAATTCTGATGCAAAAGTACATTATCTTAAATTGTAAATTCAACATCAAATTTTAATTATGCTCAACAGGTAATGCCAATGTAAGTAAAATGTGTAACAAGCATAAGGCTTCAGGCCCATGGGAGTTCAAGTTCACACTTCGAAAATGTATAACTTCCAGAAAAAGAAGCCCATTAGACTGCTTTTCCGACTGCATTTTAGTCCTGTTTTTCTTTTTTGAAAGTTTGGCAATCATAAGTAACATGGTTTTCCCATAATTGTCATCATGGCAGCAGCACCCAAAATTGTGTTTTCTTCTATTCCTGGTTAACAGCATAATGACCGCCAATTTTTAATAATAAAATATACGTATCATGGATTTTCAGAAAATATGACTAGCATGGGTCTTCAAGCCAGTGGAACTTCAAAGTCACACCTTGAAAATGCCAATATGTGAAAAATTAAATTTTCACAAAAAAACTGTTTAACTGACAGAAAGAATTACCAAACAGACTGCATTGCCTACTGAAGCTGTATTTTAGTCCCATGTTTCTCTCCTGTAAGTTTGAGAACAGTAAGTGACATGGTTTTTCTTAAATGGTCATCATGGGAGCAGTGCCCAAAATAGGTTTTTTTCAAATTTTGATGCAATACTAGAGGATCAGAGAGGCGATACCGCCTCCGGATAATGTACCACCAGCTGGAGTAAGCACATTCGAATGGACCCCCCCCCCAAAAAAAAAGGGACACCACAACCAGTCTTGTCCTTGTCAAGCTCTATGCAATAAACAAGAATTCCCAAAGTATGAAAAAAAATATATATAACAGAAAAATGGTCCAATCAAGCGGATTTTCCAATTGGCCTGTATTTTCCTAACATTGATCACTCCTGTGATTTTCTGGACAATAGGCCTATTGGTTTTCCTTGAAATGAGTTATCAGTGTTGCATATATGCTAACAAAAGAGAAAACCTAGGGGCAACACTGGGCATATCTCTGCTAGTTTTGAAGATGTGAGGGGCAAGAAAATATGCAAAGTTCAGTTCATGATGAAAAAGTAGGTCAATTTCAATGTCACAGTATATGACTTTCTATTCAAGTTCAATAGTAACTATGGGCATTTCATTGCCAATTTTGGAAATGTAAAGGCCAGAAAACATGCAAAGTACAGTTCATCATAAAAAGTAGGTCAAAGGTCAATTTCAAGGTCACAGTTAGATTGCCAGTATATGACTTCCTATTTAGGTTCAATAGTAACTATGGGCTTATCTCTGCCAGTTTTCGAGATATAATGAAGAGAAATTTTTCAAAGTTCAGTTCATGGTGAAAAGTAGGTCAAAGGTCAATTTCAAGGTCACAGTTAGATTGCCAGTAAATGACTTCTCACTCAACTTCAACAGTAACTATGGATGTATCTCTGCCAGTTTTAGAAATATAAGGGCTGGAAAATTTGCAAAGTTCAGTTCATGGTGAAAATTAGGTCAAATGTCAATTTCAGGATCACAGTTAGATTGCCATTATATGACTTCCTATTCAAGTTCAATAGTAACTATGGGTGTATCTTTGCCAGTTTTAGAGATATAAAGATCAAAAAACCTTGCAAAGTGCAGTTCATCATGAAAAGTAGGTCAAAGGTCAATTTCAAGGTCACAATTAGATTACCAGTATATGACTTCCTATTCAAGTTCAAAAGTAACTATGGGCATATCTCTGCTAATTTTTGAGTATTTCACATTTTATTTTCACCACTGATTTTAGGATGTTGAACTTTTTGATATAGTGCAATGCCTAAGCCCTATTGAAAACAAAAAAATAGACACCACCCCCAGTGTTGCCCTTGACAAGTTTTACAAAATGCATAAAACAAGAGGTCTCTAGCATTAACGGTACCAGAATTAGAGAGAGTTTTCAGTTTCGGCATGTTATGGCCGCTGTTACCATGAATATGCACTGATTGACCCCAAACTCATGAAAATGAAAGATGACCCTAAGGGTAACACCTGCCCATAATATTATAGGTAAGATCTGTTTAGTTTCTGAAAATCGGCTGAAATAAAAATTTTCTTGCAAAAAATTCCTATTTTTAGAAAATTTTGGCCCGTTTGACCTTGAAATAAAGGTCAAAGGTCAAATCCAAGGGCATATTTGAAATCCTCACATATGACTTTCGGTCAGCCATCCGTAGATATTTTTCCCATAATTCCATCGGTTTGGGAGATATTTAGCATTGAATTTTCAAAAATTTTGACAAGGGTGCGTTTCAACGAGCGTCACGCCCAGGTCAATGCACCAACTGAGACAAAAAAACCTGGGTGTTCAAGTTGAGATTATATGTGACCTAAATCCAAGAGATGGGGACANCCCCATAATTCCATTGGTTTGGGAGATATTTAGCATTGAATTTTCAAAAATGTTGACAAGGGTGCGTTTCAACGAGCGTCACGCCCAGGTCAATGCACCAACTGAGACAAAAAAACCTGGGTGTTCAAGTTGAGATTATATGTGACCTAAATCCAAGAGATGGGGACACAGGTCCTTGCGGTCTAGGAGGAGAAGCGGTAACGGTGACTTGTATCCCACGTCATCCTGCGGAGCTGCAGGAGCCGCAGGAGCCGCAGGAGCCGGCGGAGCCGGCGGAGCTGTACGAGACGGGTCGGGACTAAAACCATGAGTACCGCCAGCGTACACGCTGGTGGTACTAATAATAATAATAATAATAATAATAAGAGATGCCCCATAGGTTAAAAAGGTATTGTTATAAATTGTGATGCACTCTTTGCATGTAATACTGAATTTATAAATAAATAAATAAATGAAATAATTCTAAGGCACTCAACTGATATGTTTACTTGAATGATTGGAAAATGCAATCAAAATATTCTTTTTTCATCTTTTCAGTGTCCACTTACCTTTATGAATAACCTATTGAAGCATTAATAAATTTAAAGCCAATATCAAACAGGGTATTGATTTCCCCAAATATATATAGTATTCAACAGTGAATGTTCTAAAAATTGAAGTTTAATGAAGTTATTTTATAATAAATCTTTACATAATGATATAAAATAACATTCTTGTTAAAACATCCACCAACGATTTAAAAATCTTACAGTAAGTGTTATTACCTATTTTAACAGTTTCTGCAAATTTTTTCATCAGTTAGAACTTACCTGACACCGTAAGTCCTAAGCTGCAGCCTTCTTTTTTAAACAACTCCACAAAACAGGTCCCCTTCCTGTCATCTGAAAATCAAAAACACTAAATATTTTAAGTCTTTAAATCATCAGTAAGGGAGTTACACATTTCTGGAGGATTCTTTTTATTTATACAATCATAAAACAATTTCAGGAAAAAAATTCACTCTTTGAGATCTTGCTCCTGCCTCTCTTGCATCTCAGGGCTATGTTCAATACACGGGTTAAACTTTTGAAGCGCGTCAACCAAAAATACCAATTACATATATAAACATTTGATAATATCTTTTTTTAAATCAAACTAAAAATCAATTTTCATTTTATCGTTCAGTAAATTTTTATCAAATCTTTAAATTCAATGCCATCCAAGATAGAGTAATTGAACAATCTGTAAAATCAGAGAAGTCTGTTATCAAAAATGTTATTTCAGCATATGTGTTAAGGTGCATAAATCATCGAAGTTTTTTTTAGAAAAACAGCACTGGTACACAAGTTAAAATGCAAACTTTTCCTAGAGCAAAAAAATATTCAGAAAGTTCCTTGCCAATTTATTATAAAGGTGTGAAAATGAAAACCTGAGATAACAGTGCCAGTCAAAATAAACATGGCTTCTTGTAGGTCAGAATGGGTGTGTAATGGCCCTTATCCATTTAATTGGTAACATAATACTGCTGATCAATTTCAATAAAAACATCTACTAAATCTGAAAATTAATTTCTGGCTCATTATTCTGTCTACAAATGTACAGCTTTATTTTCATATAGTCTCAGCCATCAAAACCATTTTTTTAAAATCTTTGCATTAATATTGCAAAATATCAAGACTTGATCAAGAAATGAAAACCTCCCTGTAACTCTCTGAATTTTTTCCATTTTAGAAACGCGGAAGAAAAATCCTAAATAAAGTACATGAAATAGTC